ATCGAATGTTAATTTGATATTTCTTTGATAAATCTTAATTGGACGAAATTAAATATTACATTCTAGAAATTTATTGTTAATTTGATAAAATTGACTGTCAATTTGTTGTTAATTTAATGAAATTGAATTGATGAACTTGAATATTAGTGTTGATTTAATGGATTGGATCTCAACTGGATAAAATTTAATGTTTAATTCATGAATTTTAATGCTAATTTGATATGGTTGATGGTAAATTTGGTGTCAATTTAATGAGTTAGATCTCAATTGTATGAAACTTTATGTTAAATTCATGAATGTCAATGCTAATTTGGTAACATTGGTGATTAATTTGGTGTTAATTTTGTTAAATTGAATTTTAATAAATAAAATTGATGATGAATTTGGTGTTAATTTGATGAAATTGAATATTTAATTCTTGATTTTTTTTATTAATTTGTTAAAATTAAATTTTGAATTGATGAAATTTAATATTTATTCGATGTTAATTTGATAAAATAAAATTTTAATTAAATGAATTTGAATGTTACAATCTTTTGGTGTTACTAGCACTATCTCGAATATGACGAAATTATTATTATTATTTTTTATCTCAAAAATATTTGTGATATATTCCAAGAGTTGGGATCTATCGCAAGGTAACAATAGTGTCATCCTAAAAGTGGGGTTTCCTCACCCAACTTTGATAATGCACAACCAATCTTATTGAATAAGGGTAAGTTTGAGATCGATCACAAATGTTTATGATCGATCTCAAAGTTACCAAAGTGAGATTTATCAAAACTGTGGATAATTTACCATAATTAAGGGCAATTTACCTCTTTTGAAAGTCATTTACTACAATTGTGGATAAATTAGAGTTTAGAGGTGAATTTATGATTGTTCTGATTGATATTACGACAATTATGAATTACATTACAAGAATTAAATTTAAGACAAAAGTGGGTAAATTTGTGATAAATACTAATAACTTCACTCAAAATTATTGTAATATTAATATTAAAGTTGTAATATTGTCCCTAACAACGGTAACATTACCACAAAAGATAGTAAAATTACTCGAATAGTGGTAAATTCACTCAAATTATTGTAATAGCATCCCAAACAATGGTATTTTTGATCCAATTAAAATTCAATTTATCAAATTAATATTCAAATTCGTCAAATCAACATTTATATTCATTAAATTAATATTTAATTAATCAAATTGACACCAAATTAACCAAACTAACATTAAAATTCATCAAATTAACAAGAACTTTACGGTTCATAAAATTATATATATATATATATATTTGGAGGGGGGAATAGGGCTTGAACCCTTGATCTCAAAAAGACAAAACTTTTACAAGGTAAATAGTATAATTGGACCAAAGACCCATTAGTCATAAAATTAATATTTAATTCATCAATTTAACAATAAAATAATATTAAAATACAAAAATTGTCCCAACATTTACCTCAAATAATCTTTCTATATATTAAAATTTCAATTGATTAAAATTCCTTTTTCTACATATTAAAATTTGAACAAATTAAAATTCAATTCGAGTTGATTAAATTTTATTTTTTTCACTTAATAAAATTTGAGCGTATTAAATTTTACTTTAACGTATTAAAATTCGATTTGATTTGAGCTCAACCTAAGCTATCAGTGCCTAGTGCTGATTAAAATTCGATTCGACTCGATTGAATTTGTATTTTTTAACTTATTAAAATTCGATTCAAGTTGATTAAAATTTATTTTTTACGTATTAAATTTTAAGACAATTAAAATTTTTATATTTTTTATGTACCAAAATTTCATCTGATTAAAATTAAATGTGAATTAATTAAAATTTAATGAAAATCGATTAAAAATAAATTTTAATCAGCTCGAATTGGATTTTAATTGACTCAAATTTTAATAACTCAAAAAAAATTAATTTTAAATTGACTCTAATTTTAATATGTAAAAAATAAATTTTAATTAGCTCAAATTAAATTTTAATCCGCACAAATTTTAATAATTAAAAAAATATAAATTGACTCGACTCGAATCGAATTTTACTCGGCTGTAGTTGTGAGCAGCTCATGTTGAGATCAAATTGGCTCAAATTTTAATATGCAAAAAAAAAAAAACAATAGGCTTCAATTTTAATACATAAAAAAATAAAATTTAATCAGCTCAAATTGATGTTAAATTAATAAATTTTAATGTCAATTATATAAAATTGATTATTAATTTGGTGTTAATTTGATGAATCAGATAAATTTAAATGTTAAATACATGAATGTTAAAGTTCATTTAATAAAATTCACAATCAATTTGGTGTTAATTTGATTAAATTATAAATTTTGGAATTTCAATGTTAATTTGATAAAATTGATAGTCATTAAATTCCTAAATTTTAATATTTATTTAATAAAATAGGTTATCAATTTTGTGTTAATTTTACGAAATCAAAATTTAATAAATAAATAAAAGGTGAATTTTTTATTAATATGGTGAAAGTGAATGTTACGATCTATCCGATTTTTTTTTTGAATATATCGAAATTATTATTATTTTTTAGAATATATCAAAAATATTATTATTATTATTTTGTTATCTTCAAAATGTTTGCGATCTGTCCCAAGAACTTGGGATTTCTCGCAAAGTTATAGTAGTCTCTCCCAAAACTTATTGAAAAACGGTAAGCTTGGGATCGGTAAAAAATATCTATGATCGATCACATGGTAACTAGAGTGAGATTTAACAAAATTGTGGGTAATTTACCACAATTAGGAGCAGATTTACCATCTTTAAGTCAGCTTACAACAATTGTAGATATATTTATAAGTTTAGAGATTAAATTACAAATGTTCTAATTAATATTACAACTATTTTGGTTAATATTAGGACAATTCTGGGTAAATTTATGACAAAAAAAAGTTAAATTAAAATCATAATGGATAAATTTTTCATAATTGTTGAAACATTACGACTTCAAAGAAAAAATTTACTATAGGTAGGGTGAAATATAATAATTGTGGGTAAAATTACTAATATTTAAGATAATTTTACTATTAATTTGGTTAATCTTATAATAATCATAGGTAATTTTACAAATATAATGGTAAATAAGCGATGCTATTGAGACATAATTTCAAGATTTAATGATTATAGTCATTAGATTATCAATGGATCTCAATATTAAATTATCATTGAGTCTCAACACTATTAATCCAACAGTCATAATGTATTAAGTCTCTAAATTATGTTCTTAAATTATATCCCAATAACATTAGTGAATGGTAAATAAATGCTACCTATGAGATGAACTAGTGACGTATTTACAACAGAATATTATTAAAGGTGTCAATTAATATTTTTATCACCATATTGATTAAATTTAATATTATTAAGAATAGTATTACCATCGGTGTGGTAAATTTTACGACAACGGTGAGAAATTTATCACAATTAAGGGTATATTTATCATATTTGAGTGTGACTTTACCATAACTATGGCTAAATTTACTTGTTTAGATGAGAATTTGCAACTGTTTTGTTTAATATTACGATATTTTTAGATAACATTGCGAGACATAATGATAAATTTACAACAAAAAGGGGTTAAGTTAAAATTATGATGGATAAATTTACCATAATTGGAGAACCAATATGACATTAAAGAGAAAATTTACTATTGTTCAGGGTTAAATACAATGATTATAAAAAATTACTACTATATAAGACAATTTTATGATTAGTTTGGTTAATCTTACAATAATCATGAGTAATTTTAGAAATATAAAGGTAAATGTACGACACCTATAGGTTGCACTAATGACGGATTTACAACAAATATGATTAATTGTGTCAATTAATACTTTTACCACCATATTGGTTATATTTAATATCATTAAAAATAATATTTACCACCGTTTCGGTAAGATTTACGATAACAACAGACAATTTATCACAATTGAGAATATATTTATCACCTTTGAGTTTGAGTTTACTATAATTGTGGATAAATTTACATGTTTGGTAGAGAATTTACGACTGTTTTAGTTAATATTACTGTAATTCTGGATAATATTACAAGGATTAAGGTTAATTATACAACAAAAAGAGATTAAATTATAATAATGGTGGATGAATTTATTATAACTGTGGTAACATTATAATATTAAAAGAAAAATTTACTACAGCTTAAGACTAAGTTACAATGATTGTGGATACCATTGTTAGTATATAGACCAATTACTTTCATTTTAGCTAATAGTACGAGAGCCGTGAATAATAATACAAATTTAAAGGTAAATTTACGATATCGATAGGATGCACTAGTGTCATATTTACGATAAATGTGATTAAATGTGTCAATCGTACTTTTATTAGGATATTGATTAAAGTTTGTCTACTATTGCAGTAATTTCTTTTATTACTGTAGTAAATTTTTCACTAATGTTATAATTTTATCCATTATTATAGTAATTTTATTCACTATTATTGTAAATTTTTTATTGATATTATAATTTTATCTACTATTATTTTAAATTTTTTATTGATATTATAATTTTGCCCTTAATCGATATATATAGATTATAGACAATTTAAAAAAGCAATGGGTGAAATCGATTGCTTTATTTTTTACTTTTACACGTGATAAAAATTATAGATCGACAATTTTTTAGTATAATACCAAAAAAAAACAAAATTCTGTGCCGTAGTCTGCAAATATTGAATACGATAATATCGATTTGATGTGTGAATAATCCTTTTCATTAACTGTATAAACAAATTTTGGTACGATAGGTTATCCGCCACCTACCAACGTTTGACACTCAAAAGTATTCTTAAATTATGCATTGACAATGATTGACCTTAAATTGGATTGGATTGGATTTGGCCCGAAAAGAAAGGCCCAAACCCCACACACTACGCATTTGCATGAAATGCCACCTGGTACAATCTCGCTCCTCCATTTTTTTGTTATGCGCTGTCTGGGTTTCTCTTTTCAAATTTCTGTTTATGCCAAACAAAATCTCTCTCTTTCTCTCTCTCTCTGAGAAGCACACCTCCAATTCCCATTTATTGGAACACCTCCTCTCTTCATCATTGTACGGAAACCCAAAACTCAGTAAGATCAATAAACTTCACCTTCATCTCCAAATGCAGAATTCTCATGCAAGAAAGGTAAGTTTCATCGAATAACGCCTTTCTTGTTACCTATAAATTTTCTGGGTTTGTGCTGGTTTTTTCTTCAACATGTCACAGACTCGAGAATCGGTTCACGACCCGTTTAAACTTTCGAAAATCTTCGTATTTTCAAATGATAAGAACTGTGATTGTCTGACGACGTCGTTGAAAGGTGTTGTGTTGGTGTTCTTGATCGCTTCGATTTCACTCGTCCTCTACTCAACCTTCGCCGGCCAAACGCGGTGGTTTAGCTGCCCTGAATGCCACAACCCATCCCGAAACATCGCCCAAATCTGCGAATATCGCGATTTCTCGGGCGAAAATCTCGGACCCACCAACATTTCCCACCTTGTTTTCGGAATTGGAGGGTCAACAAAGACTTGGAAGGACCGCAAACACTACAGCGATCTCTGGTGGCAGCCAAACACCACCCGTGGGTTCGTTTGGCTGGACCAAAAACCCGACCCGGATTCCCTTTGGTCGGGAAACTCACCTCCCTACCGGGTCTCATCCGACTGGACCCGGTTCAAGTACGTTAGCTCTCAATCGGCTGTTCGAATCTCTCGGATTGTTTTGGATACCTTTCAAGTCGGGTTACCGAATGTGAGGTGGTTTGTGATGGGTGATGATGATACGGTGTTTTTCACAGATAACTTAGTTTCTGTGTTAGCGAGGTATGATCACCGTCAAATGTACTACATTGGTGGGAATTCCGAAAGTGTGGAGCAAGATGTGATGCATTCGTATGGTATGGCCTTTGGTGGGGGTGGATTTGCAATTAGTTATCCACTGGCGGAGGAGCTGGTCAAAGTATTCGACGGTTGTCTTAATCGGTACTACAAGTTCTACGGCTCTGATCAGAGGGTGTGGGCCTGTGTGGGGGAGCTCGGTGTTTCTCTCACTAAAGAACGTGGGTTCCATCAGGTACTTTATGTTTCCAAGTTATAGCTGGTCGTTAACATTAATGCATTTAGATCCATATGCATTAGTCCGTCAATGTAAGTCCAGAGAGTCGGTAATATGTTGGGATCAAATAAGTATTTTGGTTTCATCGTGGATAGTTTTAGCGTAAGTTAATCTAGATACTCTTAACTATTGAATTAAAAAAAAAAAAATTCGTATGCAATCACAAATTAGAGTATTATTGATAATAGGTCATGTGTCACATATTTGCCTCCTATCTAAGTGGTTTTTTGGAAAAAAATTATTCAATTAGATTTGTGTTATGTATATCATTTTATATCCCAAAAGATTTAAAAATTCAATTTATATGTTTAGAGATTAAATTTTTTATATTATATTCTTAATGTATTAAATATATTACAACATGACATTTTTGTTAACTTTCGTTGTTTATTCTATCAAAAATTACCTGATTGTCCTTAATAAAATGAGTAGCGGAAACTAATAAAAGAGGGTTAATTGCAACACATGAAAATTTAATTTTTGAGGGCACAAAATAAAAATTATTAAATCTTTGAGGATAGAAAATATAAGTCATCCTAAAAGGTTTTGTTTTTGGTTGTGGGGAAGTGGACTTAAATGTGACTTGTTAAGTCCCAATAGGCCCCACATGTCCAGGTGGCAGGGCGTGATGAGGAGTTTGGTGATGAAAGTCCACCATTGCTTTGGGTGTTAGTTCACGAGGACTATTCCTTTTATTGGATGGAAAAAAGAATTTGTTGAACTACGTATAAACTGGGTTAGATAGCCTGTGTGTTAAAAAAAATTCACCACTGAAGTCTTTTGACACCTACTTTAAGTGGGTTTCTGCCACGTGGTGTCACATGTTGACCAGCTTTGTTGGTTTATGGTCTGTCTTCTGGTCTTCGTCTCCAGTCTTGAGTCTTGGACGTAATATAGGATCAATTTTAGTATGTTGCTTTCTTTTGACGCAAAGCTAAGATGCTTCTTGAAAATTACATAGTAACGTGGTCCGGTTCTATTGGTTTGCCACAATGCTCATGGATTTGGAAAGATGGCTCTCAAGCTCGACAATTCCTAAAATAATTCTTGATAGTGGGTGATGCTCTTGTTATTCCTTAGTTTTGCCGATGGAATTATTTTTCAAGAATCATAAGATGACCACTATCATACCAAACAATGTTCTTTGTAACTTATTCTCGTGGGATTTTGTCGAGCGAACAAGAGATTGGGTAATGTCAAGGTTCATTTTGTGTCAAGTTGTGACATATTAGAATTGTTTAATCATTTGTCATTTATAGTCAACGTTTTATTATTTATGTAAAGTTGAATTTGTGTTGTGTATAAAAGTTTTTATATCCTGATTTACTAATCCCATATTATAAATAAATTTGATTATAATCTATAAATAAACTTTGAATGGAATTGACAAATCGTGGTAACAAGTGCCAAGGAACCCGAGGAGACCAATTACTTTAGGTGATTCCCCGTGCCGTGAGGGTACTGATTGGTGACATCACTTTGTCCACTTCGGAGGGCTGTTATTAGTCTTCTTGTCATTATGTTGCACGGAGTTGCCACTAAACCATCAAAAAAAAGGAACAAGAGATGTGGTCCTCTAAGCACTAATTACATTTCTATTCATGAGCTCATTCAGATTATGCGCATGGGCGAGGTTTTAGTGACACCCCCATTAAGTTGACAATAGGTCGTCAATCAATATGTGACACCAATGCTCAACAGGGAGGAGTTGATTTCTTGAGTTCGAATATTTGTAATCTCTTAGAATATGAAGGATTTATCAGTCATAAATACCTTACTCCTGACGTGGATGGCATACGATTGCCTTTAATCGGACTAGAAAGTGGATTAGTTGAGATGTACGTAAGCTAGTCTAGACATCCCTTACCATTAAAAAAAAATGCTCAACTTATGGTCTCAAATCAAAATGCATCAGCCTTTTCTTCTCTCTCCTAATTAGAGTTCATATCTTCATTAACCACAAGCAGGACTTGTCGTGGGATGATTAATTTTCTTGGATTTTGTTTGGTTTGAATTTCTAGATCATTAATTATTGTGAATTTAAGTGGGATTAAGTCTTCTTACCTCAGTGTCATTACACGGTTGGATCATTAGAAGAAATTAAGTAAGAAATATACTGTAGTAGATTTGGATACATGTTTCATTATGGCACATAACCTGAGAACCTAAATGTAAATCCCCATTCACCTACTGCATGTTTTGCACAATTGCATACTTTTGGAATCTTGTGAATCTTCCAGTTTGGGTTTTCCAAATCCTCGAGCCAATTTAAGGCAAGAAGTAGGATCAATCTGAACCATTTGTCCAACACATTGGATTGATGAGATGAATTTTTTGTCATATGAATTTTTGGTATAATATAAATGGTAATCTTTCAGTGTGACATTGCATTTTGGCAGATTGATATTCGAGGTGACCCGTATGGTCTTTTAGCGGCACATCCTGTGGCACCACTGGTATCACTCCATCATCTTGACTATGTAAAGCCATTGTTCCCCAACCAGACACAGCATGAGTCACTGAGGACTCTGATCCAAGCATATCAGGTTGACCCGGCCCAAACTTCACAGCAATGTTTTTGCCACTATCAGAAGCTTAAATGGTCAGTCTCCATCTCATGGGGCTATACGGTTCAGATATACCGTTCATTGTTGATGGCTAAGGATTTGGCGACACCATTGCAGACGTTTAAGACGTGGCGGAGTTGGAGTAATGGACCTTTCACATTCAATACCCGGCCTGTGAGCCCTGACCCTTGCCAGCGGCCCATCATTTTTCATTTGGATTCGGTTAAGGAGAATGGCCATGGTGAGACCTTGACTAGTTATAAGAAGTATGTGGTTGAACCAGAAAAGAAGTGTAACAAAGCAGACTATGCCCGTGCAGTGGCCGTAGAGAGAATTATAGTCTCAGCATTGAAGATGGACCCTGAAGAGTGGAAGAAGGTATGCACTTTTTTTCTTGACATATCAGATATGCTGGCCTTTTACTTTGATGAAGTCTTATGGCTAGGAGAAACGAAATAGATAGTTATATTATATTCTCCCTAAAGCATTAGTTACAAGCACATGGCCAGACTCAGTTCTCAATGATGTTGCTGTTAAACTTTAAGCATAAACAAAAAGCTAGGACCTAGTGTTCACAGAGCTCTTGCCTACAGTGGCCACTGGGAATGGTAAGTTATTGACAGCCTTGCCCCATTTTCTAGAGCCTGATTCTCGAATTTAAGCTTGGCCGGAAGAGCACCTGTCACAACTTTGTTTGATTACCATAAAACCCAGTAATTGGTGTTGCTATTACTGACAGAAAAATGGTACAGAGATTAGATAAAACAATGTCAACCAGCAAACATATTAATCATATTTTGTTGACATTTTACACTCCAAACTTACAGAGTATTGTGAGAGATCTCATTATATGAACAAGGACGGAATCTTTGGGTAGTGAGTTTAGTTTGTGCCACTTCCATATTGCTTCTAATTTGGTGGTAATGCTTTTTGTCAATTTCATACAGTAGCATTACTTGGAATGTCTATATCATCTGGGAAGAATCTCAATTTGATTTTGATCATTTCAACCAAGAGGTTGCTGTCTTGTTTGTTGGATTTGCAGCTAAAAAATTAAAAATAGTTCAAGAAAAGAGGATACAACTTCAGCATTAAAACCAATCCAACCATGTTAATTTTGGTAACATCAGAATATGCAATGTGTAGTTTACATAGGAAGCATAGGGAAATCTTCTCGCAGACAAGAGCCATATATTGGTGAAGTTGGTGCTTCTGAATTGCTTGATAGGCTCAAATTTTGATGCTGTGGAACTGAAATTCTAACTGCCACTATACCTTTTGGTTATTCTGTTTTAAGTTTTAACTATGGATTAAAGGATCATATGTGACTGTATCTGCAGGCGCCGCGTAGACAGTGCTGCGAGGTTAGTAGCTTGAAAAATGGCAGCTTGAAGATGAAGATTAGAAGCTGTAACCGCTGGGAAACTGTCAGTAATTAGAGGTCAGCCCTTCCACTCTCCGATTGATGTAAATAATGCAGTGTTATAGTGTAGGAGTCGTAGAATTTGACTTTTGCCACATGAGGTGCGTGGTTTTGGCTAGAAAACATAGTGGATATGTTTTCAACTGCAAATCCTGCAATGACAATTTGATCCCGTCCTTGGCCTCGAGGATTGGTGAGCAGCACGGAACTTGAATAAACTAAATGACATAGTCTTAGGGGCTCTCCTTTGTTAGAAATCCATAGACAACATTCAGAAACTTCCAAACCAAAGATATGCAACATGAGAAGGAGATGGATTAATAAGAGCAGGCTTCATTATTTCCTTGAAGCAAATTTTTGAAGTTGGGATTTTGGTTTAAATTCTTATTACTCTGCTGTCTCTCTGTGTGTTTTTATTGGGTAGTTGTGTGAGTATGTGTGGTTTATGCCTTTGCATTTCTGGGAAGCAATTTCACAACAGAACAGGATGCTATTATTTTGATAGCATCAGTAAAAGGAAATTAGATCAATTATCATGTATTACAGCTATCTATGTGGTTGTAAGAGAGTATTCACCACCCAGGTTAAACTGAGATATTCTTTATGCGATGTACATCTCGATTAGAGCTTCAAACGCGTTCCATTCATAAAACAAATTGAGCTCGAGCTCAATTGTAGAGTTGGTTTTGATAGACAAGCCGAACCGGAGTTTGTTTCTTTTCATTTTACTTGATTGTCCTCAAATAAACTAATGGGTACAAGAAGTCTCTGTGTACACTATTGATTTCAATACTTATCATTTTCATTCTTGCTTTAAGTTTGTGGGTTCTGTCCTAGGTGTCGTCAAACAGGGTCATTCTAATGTTTTTACTCTTGGGTTTCATCATAGTTTATTTCGTTTCTTAGTGTGTGGTTGATTTGTGGGTCTTTAATTGATGAATAAGAGTTTTTTCATGAAATGTTGACAAAGAATTTGTTCACTCTTCAATAATTTCTGTAGGGCATTCTCGTAATGTCAAATAGAGAACATTAGTTTTTTTGTTCACTGTTTTTTGAGTTTTCAGCATTTTTGATATATATTTCTCAATTCAAATGAAACGTCTTAATTAAGTTATTAAAATCTAATCAATTTTATTAATTAAGCACAATTGATTCTTCTTTCCAATTAAATCTCTTAATCAAATAAATGTGGTTTTTAAGTTAAGACCAAGTCTCGTTAGTCCAATCATTGTTTTTTGTGTTAACGGTTTTGAGTGCAATAGTTTTTACTGTTTTTGAGTTCATTACTTTACACAGTTTTTAAAAATTTTGGACAATAAATTAAAAGTTTCATTCTATTAAATCTTATTGTCTGTGAAAATTTTATAAATTAGGAGTTTCATTCTATTAAAATTTAATATTTATAAAAATTTTATACACTAAGAGTAGGGATGACAGTTGACTGGGATGGGGGCGTGGAGAGTAGTCTGCACCCCCGTATCCGCTTCAAAAATATTCATCCACCCCTGTTAGCGGGGAAAATTTTAATCACTGTCACTGTCACTGTCCCATAGATAAATTTTGATTCTTGTCCCCATCCATAACAATTAAAAACTTACAAAAATAAAATGTATAATAAATGTGTATTTCACTTAATTATTTTATTTGTTATATAATGAGTTGCAATTCATCCCTACCCCCATCCTCATTCGAATTTATACGGATATCTTCACATACGTTCATCGTATAATATGTATGGTTCATCTCCGGTCCAAACTAGACAGGTTTGAATGAATATCCGTTTTTTTCGGCTCCGCTACCATTCCTAATTAGGAGTTTCATTCTATAAAAATAAAATTCATGATGGTGGTGGTGCTGGTTGATGGCAGTGGTTTCGGTGGGCGGTGTTGATGGTAATGTACGGTGGTGGTGGTTGATAGCGGTGGTGGGCGACGAGTGTGATAGTGGGTGGTGGTGGCGGCGACAGTGGAATGATGATCATAATGATAATAAATATAAAAATAATATAATTATAGAAGTTTTTAAAAAAACCTTATTCATTAAGAGTATTTTTGTCGATCGTTGATTTTATGAATTTTTGGCTTAAAAGTGTAAAGGACAACGAATGTGATCGCTGGTGAATGTGTGCATCTTACTAAATTTTCCAAAATTTTTCTAGGTAAATAATGTGCCTAAATCTATATGAAATTACTATATCTCATGGTTTGAAGGTCGCATGGATATTTGTCGAATTGAATATAAAGAGAGACCAATTCCATCAATCGCTTATAATATATTAGAGTGAAGCCGTGTAAAATACATATTTTTAGTGTGGTTAAAACGTAAGTAAATAGTTATAGTATTGATTATGGTTAAAATATTGGTAGATGATTAAAATATTTAATGTAGTTAAAAAGCTGAATATAAATAGAAAGAATATTATGGTTGAAATATTAAAATATAAATAATGTGATAAATCGTTAGATCTAAAAGATCTGTATTATTGTTGTGTTTTTTTATATCAAGAGCTTAAGGAGCTATACATGGCCCGAGGTTTGAATCAAACTTACTTGGACTGGACCTTTTGTTGGCCTATGTGAAACAAGGCTAATGCCGTTCTGCTTACTAGCCCAACATTCAACATATGGGCCGAGACTCGAATCAATCTTAGATGTAAAGAAACTGATAATCTTTATTCTTTCGAGTAGAAAAATAACTGAGGCTTTTATAAAGCCTTACAAACAGAAAAATCGAAATACAAGGAAAACATATCTAAACAAAATTAAACAAATCAACTCCTACAAACTAGTTTAAATAACAACTCCTACCTATTATTTAGCTATCACGTTGCAGATCAAGTCCATAGTTCCAACAAATTCCTCCCCGTAAATTGAAATATGCTGAATCAGCATCAGTTTACTCCTCAAGTCGTCAAACACCAAGCAAGCTTCTGAGTTTCACAAATTGGTCCAACTTAATTGGTTTAGTCATTATGTCTGCCACTTGATCTTTAGTTCCACAAAAAACTAACCTCACAGCTCCATCAATTGACAGATTGCGCAAGTAATGGTATCTAACATCAATATGTTTTGTCCTTCGATGCATAACTGGGTTCTTTGACAACTTAATTGTTGAACTATTATCACACATAATATTGATGCACTCACAGTTTTTGACGCCTAGCTCCTTCAGAATTCCTTTAAGCCAAACTCCATGACATGCACATGCAATGGCAGCCACATATTCAGCTTCTGTGGATGATAGAGTGACAATTCCTTGTTTCCTTGAACTCTAACATATTGCTGCTCCACTTAGAAGAAAAACATAGCCTGAAGTGCTTTTCCTATCGTCTATATCTCGCGCATAGTCACTGTCTGTGTATCCCAGCAGATTTCTGTCATTCTCATCTCCTGTATAGTGGCTATCTGTGTATCCCAACAGATTTACATCTGTGCTCCTTTTGTAATAGACTCCAAAATCCAATGTTCCTTTTAAATATCTCAGTACCCTCTTAGCAATCATCATATGTTCTTCTTTAGGATCAGCCATATAACGAGAAATCAAACATACCACAAACATTAAATCAGGACGAGTTATCGTTAGGTACATTAAGCATCCTACCAGCTGTTTGTACAGTGTTGCATCAGCATTTTTGCTGCCTAACTTTGACAAGACAGTGCCAGGAACTATTGGATTCTTTACAGCATTGCAATTCCACATATTAAACTTTTCCAATACTTCCTTAGCATACTTCTTTTGGCACAGATGAATTCCTCCTTTGTTTTGATAGACTTCAACTCCAAGGAAGAACTTCATTTTTCCCAAGTCTGTCATCTCAAACTCCTTCTGCATTGACGACTTAAAATTTGTGCACATATGCTCATCATCTCCTGTGTAAATCAAATCATCAACATAAAGACTTACCATCAACAATTTATCTCCATTTTTTTTCAAGAACTAGGTGTGGTCGTAATTGCTTTTCTCAAATCCTTCCTTCTTGAAATAACTCTCGATTCTGCTAAACCAGACCCTTGGAGCTTGCTTTAAACCGTAGAGAGCCTTCTTCAGCCGATACACCTTGTTTTCTTCTCCCCTTTTGACAAACCCTTCCGGCTGGTCAACGTAAACCTCCTCATTCAATTCACCGTACAAGAAAGCACTCTTAACGTCAAGTTGATAGATGCACCATCCACGTTGAGCTGCCAGTGCCAACAGAATTCTGATTGTATCCCATCGTGCTACTGGCACATACACTTCATTGTAGTCTACTCCTGCTTTTTGTGAATATCCCTTGGCGACGAGTCTAGCTTTACATTTGTCTACTTTGCCTTCTTCATTTAATTTCGTTTTAAAAACCCATTTGACACCAATTTTCTTTGCTCGATGTGGTAATGGCACAAGCTCCCAGGTCTGATTTCTCTCAATATCTTGAATTTCAAGCTTCATGGCCTCCTGCCACCTTTTTTCTTTCACTCCTGCCACCTTTTTTCTTTCACCGCTTCGTCAAAGTTTATTGAATCATCGTTGGAGATGTGAAAAACTAAGCTTTCATCTGATTCTTCTTCTTCAGACAAGCGTTCACCAGTTTCGTAGTCGCGCATCCAAACGGGCTCTCTCCTTCTTCTTGTCTGTTGTGGAAATTCTGGTGAAGATTCCTCAGTTTCTGGAATTGCTTCTAAACTGCCGTTTTCTACTTCATTAGGTTCTCCATCAGTCTCTTCTCCTTCAGACTCTTCTGTGGCAATATCATCATCGTCTCCCCAAGCCAACACATTCTGCTCTGCCTCTGTTGTACTCAGGTTCCAATCCCATTTTCCACCTTCTTCGAATATGACATCTCTGCTTATGATTATTTTCTTTGTCACCGGATCATACAAACGATAGGCCTTAGATTCGTCACTAACTCCAAGCAAGATGCATTTGTGACTTCGATCATCAAGCTTAATTCTCTTTTGTTCAGGGACGTGCACATGTGCAATCGAACCGAATACTCTGAAGTATTCTACATTTGGTTTTACTCCTGTCCACCTCTCCTCAGGTACCATGTCCTTGACTGCCTTTGTGTAACTGCGATTCAAAACATGAGCTGTCCATCTAGCTGCTTCTGGTCACAACGATTTCGGCATCTCCCTCTCAGACAACAGACATCGTACCATGTTCATGATGGTCCGATTCCTTCTTTCTGCGACTCCATTTTGCTGTGGAGTGTAAGCTGCTGTTAGTTGTCGTCTTATGCCATTATCTTTGCAGAATTTGTTGAATTCATTTGATGTGAATTCTCCTCCCCTGTCAGTTCTGAATCCACATATGGCTGTTTTTGCTTCTTTTTCAGCAAGGTTTTTGAAGTTTTTGAATGTTTCAAAAACTTCTGATTTATCTGCAAGAAAATAAATCCATGTTTTTCGAGAGAAATCATCTACAAGCACCAACAAATACCTCTTACCACTATGGGAGATTGGAGTGATTGGTCTACAAAGATCTCCATGAATTAATTCCAATTTATTTGATGCTCTCCACTTGCTTTTCTTTGGAAATTTTTGTCGTTGTTGCTTTCCCACATTGCATATTTTGAAAACTTTGTCTGCTTCTTTTAATTTTGGCAGTCCTTTCACCATTTGTTTCTGCTGCA